AAATCGAAATTAAAAAATGAAAAGATTGTTTTCGATACCATTGCATTTATGAAACATGAATCGTCAAACCTAGTTCAACTTTGTGAGGCGACAAAAGGATTCTACTATATAAATGTACCTTATGATAAAATGGAGATGACAAAGTTATTTGAACGCGAAGCATCACTTATGGTTTGCTTACGTGATGAGAGGTCACATGTAAAAGTTGAAAAGCCAGAAATTCGTCCAACAGAAAAGCTTTATCAACCTGCCATTAATGTTAAGAATGCAAAAATGGATATAAGTCAAGTGTCGACCATGTCAAATCGTAGGGTATCAAAAGAACTTGATGAGTTGAAAAAATCATCTTTAGATAATTTTAATGTGTTTTTAACGCAAGAAAATCTACTCTTTTGGAAAGTTATTATGAAAGGACCTGATGGTACACCATATGCTGGCTATTATTGGTTGCTGTCAGTAGAATTTTCATCTGACTTTCCTTTTCAGCCACCTAATATACGCTTCATAACGCCTATTTATCATTGCAATATCAATGATGATGGTCGCATCTGTCATGAGATTTTACAAAGCAAATGGACTCATCAGACATCAATGCGAGTTGTTTTCCAAGAAATACTCGATTTAATACGTGATCCCAATCCTGATTATGCTCTATCTGCAGTGATAGGTGCTCAATACAAATCAAATCATTTAGATTATGAAAAATCGATTAAAAATCTGAATGAGAAAGAAGCAAAGAAAACAATTTCTGCAATTATGAAAGATTATAAATTAACTGAAAATTAATCTAAAAGTTTCATGTGACAACATTGTTTCTGCATTTTGTTTCGATTCTTAATAAATAATAGGGTGTGGTTGTGCATCTTTTCTTCTCAATCCACACGCCCCACATCAACACTCTCAGCTTTAAGTATTCTGGAATACTAACGATAGAAGCGATTTGTAGTGATGCCAAATATATTTCTAAAATTCAAATTAGTTAGTTCATACTTTGAAAATAACTTCAAAATAATACCAGAACAGGATAGTGGATTAGGGTGTTTCATGAATTTTTGCCTGATTTTTATTTTGGTTTTTATTCTTGCTCCATTTTAAAGTAAAGAGATAAAGTCTGATTATTTTTCAAGAGTATTGCCTAATCTCGCATCCAATATAACGGTGGCTCATAATAAATGACCCTCTCAGTATTTTGCATATTTCTCATGTATAATTCAGCTTGGAAAAAAAATTTTTATGGAAAGATTCCTTGTCCAATTCTCTGCAAAATGGGTGGGGTGTGGGTAGGTGTGGGTGTGGATGGGTATGGGTGTGGGTATGGGTGTGGGTGTGGGTGTGGATGTGGGTGTGAGTGTGGGTGTGGGTGTGGGTGTGCGGGTGTGGGTATGGCTGTGGCTGTGACTAAGGCTGTGGTTGTGGCAGTGACTGTGGGTGTTGGTGTGGATGTCGGTGTGGGTGTCGGCGAGTGTGGGTGTGCGGGTATAGGCGAGGCGTGGGTGTGAATGATAGAAATACCAGCACACCCACCCACACCCCCACCCCCCCCCCCCCCCCCCCCCACCCACACCCACACCCCACCACCCCCCCCACCACACCCCCTCCCCCCCCCCCCACC